CGCACTTTGAATTCCTCGGGTTGTGCCCGTCCTTGTGCGACCAGGGCCAGGGCCTCCTTCAGTCCCCCCAGACGGAGCCCCTTCACCACCTGCTCGACAACCGGCCAAACCACAAACCGGCGGCGAAACACAAGATGTTGATGAGCAAACAAATACTTGGAACCCGAACAACGCTGAAGGGGGGGGGAGAGACACCTGATGTGTAGTGGTAGACCACATGACTGAATTGTTGTGCTGTCCCGATCACCGTGTGCCGAGCCGATTAGTCGTTGAACTCTTCTGTGAACTTCCTCCTGTGTGTCCCCGGCTGGTGGATAACGGGTGGTAAATACTGGTGCAAGCACAGATTGGGCGAACACACACGCCCCTTCACGTGGTCCCATATCATGTCTTTTAGGAGCATTTTGTGTTCGCCCAATCGACTGACGACGTGTTTTCATTGGTCAGCCGGATACCGCTGTCGGTGCTAGTAATAAACACCCGCATCGAAACACACGTGTCCGAGAACAGAAACAAAGCGCACTACACAACCGATCTCCTGCCTGGGCGTATTCTGTCCCTCCACGCCTCCCATTCCCGGGGTTTATGATGCCGAGATCGTGAAAATTCGAATATCCGGATGCTTGGACGTAACATTTCGCTGACCTATCGGCCTTACATAGCCAATTTCAGAAGAAGAAATCAGGTCATTTCTATTCGAACAAGCCCCAAGGAACAGCAACGCTTGGAAACAATGGAAACAAAACTTGATGACTGAGTGACAGAGCATCGTTTGGATGTACTTCGTAAGTGGTAAACACAACATTTAAGGCCGCGTGACGCAACAGCTGGCCAAACAAGACGAGGGAAAAAATCGCAAAAACATGATCAGAGGCATGCATCATACCTCCATGCCCGGGACGTCCGCCCGCCCGTGCATGAGGTTCACCACATCTAGGCCGTCATCACGTGCGCCAGTAACGTCGCCCCCCATGTACAGCACCTGTTCACAGACGAGAGGGCGCTTTTGTTTTCGACTGAAGATCGGTAAGCAATCAATGTCCAGCACGATCTCTATCAGAAAAAACATGCATATTGTGGAATGCCTACGCAAGGATAAGTAAGGTGTGACGAAAAATGACCAGGCGGGGGGGCACGCAGACCCAAGCCCCCAACTCCAACTTAGCCGATTCGACGTATAATTTATCCAGTATGTTCGCGTAATTGGAAAAACCTGCGTGGGCTACTGATACAACCCAAGAAAAACTGCCCGTTCGAGATATAATCACAGTCGAAGGGGATGTGTAGAAGTCGTTGCAGTGAATGGGGGAATAAACCTGCTGGATACTGAGCTTATATTGAGTCTATTTGTGTTGGAAGTCATTTACAACTGTGAGTGGGAGAGAAACCGACTGTATACGGGGCTTATTCGAGTCTATTTTAGCCTTGCACTGAAATACTAACAGTGATGCCAGCTGGTGCTAATCTGTTCGCAGAGGAGAGCGCTACATAGCGAAGGCCCTTGAGCTCCACGGGCATGCCTCCTTCTCGCTGTCACCCTACACACAGCACAGCGTCTGCAACCCCCCCCCCCACCCTTCCCCAGATTTGTCTGATTGACGTGGTGCTGAAAAATGAGTCCGATAGCTTCGACGTCGCTTCATCTGGGGGGGTTGAGCTTGGCAGGATCATGGCTCAGGCAGACGGATCACGCCTTTGTTACCCTTCCGCCCATACTCCAATCGTTCTGTCTGCACACGATGGAAACGATAGCCCAACAGCAGCAGCAACAGCGCTTCCACGCGGAACACCAAGCCACACAGCCCACGTTGTCCTCCATGCCTGGGACCGGTTACAAGTCTCCCTTGCACACGTCCCCCATGGTGAAGGTGGTCGGTCTGTTGAGGATGAGGGCCACCGTTCCGTCGTCACCATGCTGGATCACCAGCGCCACCGCCTTGTAAAAGTACTGCTGCTGGGTCGTGAACATGCCCTCCTTGGCTATCACCAAGCAACCCAGCTCTGGCCGAACAAGCGGATGCGCCCACCTGAACAAAAGGAGGCGTTTTTCGGGGGGCGGGAGGGCGGAGCGGAGGGGCACTAAGGTTCGTTATCCTCGTATTGTAACGCTTGGGGGGCTCGCAGCCCCGAGAGCGAGGGGGGGGGGGCGGCGCACACCTTGAAATAAGGCGTTTTTTTGGGCGGGGGGCGAGGAGGAGGGCCACCAAGGTGCATTTACGTCATACTCTAAAACCTGGGGGGTTCGCAGTGGCGAGAAATATGAGGGGGGGGGGGTATACACTCGTGTCTTGCATGCCTTAGCTGGTAGACCGTTGACCATGCGTCCTCGAGAGGACGGAGGGTTTCTCCCACAGGATGGATCACCGATAGCCTAGCGGCGAAGGGGGGGACCCCAGTCTGAGAGAGAGATCAGAGGACTACAATTTGCTGTCCATATCGTTGCGGCAGCTACACAAGGTTCATTCTACAAGCCGCAAGGACCTCGCTCCCACCACCTCTGCGTCACTGACTCGGGAAATCTACGTCGGCAGCTAAATAGCTCAACAGGCGTGCATGAGCCGGTGCCGCCACCAACATAAAACGCGTGACAGATGCCTCCTTTTGTTAAGGACATAAACAAGTATTCTCGACCAGGAGAACATGCTGACGTATGATATTTTCTTCGTTGTCATAAATAGTCGCGGAGAATTTGCTTGGTGTGCCTTCTTCAGTTGAACCAAGAATCCCCCTGCCAAAACAAAGGCACGCAAATTTTTTTCCTCAACGCCAACGAAAATCGACACGCGTACTGCGCCACGCGTGTTCTAGCCTTGTCACCATTGTTTTTCGTACTTGGTGAAGTGAAGAAAACTTGTTTCGTGATCGAGTAGAAACTCTGCCCACTAGCGGAGTTAGCTGCCTCCAACGTCGTGCTTCATGAATTATGACAATTGCGCTTGACGAACAGCCTCAGTCGCTCCCTACATCGTGGATTCAAAACAATGGTTCATCTAATGCACAAATTTCGATTGCGATTGGAAAAAACGCTTGTCCGTGAAAACACACACACACACACACACTCATGAGGCAAACTGCACCGCTTCAATTTTCTGCAACAGCCCGAAGCAGCAGCAGTGCATGATACTACAACTGCGGTGCGGCCGGAAAAAAATTACCTCTCAATGCTCGCACTCCCCGCGCCGCCGCCGTCGCCGCCGCCGCTCTGCTCCCCGCCACCCCCACCCCACCCGTCCAAGCCTTTGGACATGAGCCTAGCCCGGAAATCCCGGAGCTCCATGCTCTCAGCGCCCCCCGCCGCCCCGCTCTCCGAAACACCTTCTTCGCCGCCGCCTCCCTCCGACGCGGTTGACTCCGCCGCGGATTCCGCGCGTGCGTCCCTGCTCGGTCGCTCTTCCTCGTCCTCTGCTGCTGACGCTCGCAGGCCTGCTACGGCGGGGGCTTGCCTGGAAGCTGGCCGGCCCCGGGTCTGGCCGGGAGTGTGATCGATTAAAAAAAACGAGCTCAGGGAAGATAGAGATCCAAGCTATTTCGTCTGAATCTTTCGATAGACAAATTTCTTGTAGCCAAGGAAGGATTCGCAAGAGGAAATCGTACAAAGCTGTTGTTGCAGACCTAATAAAACCTTGTCCTATATACCACCTCTAGGGTTCGAAAAACTCTATTATACGCGTTCCGAACAAGTAACCCTGTTGCTGATTTTCGGTTTTGTTTCAAAAACGCGGCATGTCGCCGCCGTCCTAGTGACGGTGCCCCCAGCAATATTTCATCGCATTCTGCTGCTGCTTTTGGGCGACCATATTGTACGATTTTATCGTGTGTCCCAGGAGATACAGGAGCATGCGTGTTTTCGAGAGTAAATTCAAGGGGGGGGGTGTACTCATAGTCGTGCATGCCGTAGTCGTTTGACCATTGACCTCGCATCCCTACAAAGCCGGGACGGAGCACGCCGGGTTCTCACCGGACCAGGCTCTCACATCACCAAGCGCGAAGCGCCGTGAGGGGGGGGGGGGGTCACATCAATATGACGAACCACGTCAACAAGATCGCCTTCGTCATGCCACCGAGTGGATTGTGGTATGGGCATGAAGCTTGCGGGATGACAGCGCCCTCTAAAACCTCATGGTATGATTTCACTACATTATTCACTCGCGTCACTCTGAAAGTGATGGGGTTTAGGGGGGGCAGCAGTGCGATGGAATCAACCGCGGCGGACGTGAATAAACGGTCCTTACCTTCCTCGGGGTACACTTTTTTTCATTCTTCACTTCAAATCATAGTACTCACAGCATTTGTGCCGGTTGCTCCAACCCGTGGTCACGCAGAAGGGTTTCTCTCCGTGAGGCCCCTACCCACCCCTCATGCGGTTCTTTGCCTTCGATTTTTGATGTGAGAAGATCATCCTACTCTTTTCTTTTCTTTTTTCCAGGGTGCGTCCCCACGACGACAGCAGTGCTAGACCAAACGTATGCTATTCTAAGAACTCGATACGATACGTGGAGTATCACTCGTGCTGTCTGAGGGAGGTCGGTGTGTCCGTAGCGTTGAGATCATTGCAGGCATGCGTATTGTAGAGGCAGGTAGACAAATCGTCTTTCGAAACATACGTCTACTACAGCAGTAGTACCAAGGATTCAAGAGTTGTGTGTGGAATCTTAATCCTACTCGTTCTGTAAAGAAAATTACCTTCATACAAGTAGCGTGGATTAATCATCAGTGCAGGGAGTTCTTACACATCTTATGCATGCAACATACAGCAGCTTGTATCCTGTAGGGGTACAGCAGTATGCTGTATGCACGGACATATGCATACAGCAGTCTACAGCCTATTCATGATGTCTGCCACTACTGCATGAACACGTTCACATTCTCAAAATGGGAGATAACAACGTGTTACTCGTTTCAAACTCCACCCACACCGCACACATTTTTGTCTCCGAAACGAATGAGATCACTTCGGGTCTTCTCTGCAAAACGTGTTTGCTCACGTGCTGCTGTCAGGAATGGTACTTTTGGCACTCGTACTCAACAACCAGAGGCATTATCCTGCATCACGGAGCTCACCGTCATTGAAGCGGGGTTGCCTCCATGCCTGACGCCAGCTGTGCAACCGGTTCTCCCGGGGGTGAATCGGAAAGAGTGGCACGGAAACATCACCAGACCCAACAGCAACAACCCCTTGGAAGTCATCCCGAATCTCCCCCCCTCTCTGCAGCTCCCTGCCTCCCTGGCTCTGCTCGGCGCACAAGCCGACAGGTCGAAGTGCCTGAAAGCATCAACAGAGGGAGGACTGCAGAGTGGAGGAGACGCGGGGCAGTGTAGTACAGCAGGCGGCCCCCCATTCTCCGAAGAACGAGCCGCAAGCCGCCGCCCAGCGCCCAGCGCCAGGCCGCATCGGAGCCAACACCAATGTGAGCAAGCAGATACGCACGCAACAGCATGGCGGAAGCGGGGAGGGACACCATCCAAAACGTCTCCTTCAGAAACGTATTGGAGGTATGTTTGGATCCGGGAGCGATTTGAAACCGACCTACATCATGAGCCGTATCTGGCGGAGGTTACCACCGACTGCTGCCTACACGAATAATGTTGGCCCCATGAAGCAGGTAGTATTTGTATCTGCTCGTCTTCTCACCCATGTAACTTGGCATGCTGCCTTCAACTATGTTTCGCGTAAGGATGCGGTGGTTGGCAAGGCTATTGCGATCGTCAATGAATGGTGAATCGGAATCCTTCCACGGAACAACCTTCACCGCAGTGGTGATTGAATTGAACCCACTACTGCTGTAGAGGAGACAGCTGTCTACGGCTATCTTCTCCACGTGTCCGCCGCGAAGTACCCGTCTCCCATCACAGAGTAAATCACTTCTCGATCGTCATTCCGCCACTGCTGCTGTTAAAGCTTATCGCCGAGGTACAGCTGTGCCGCGAGCAAGCGCGGCTACTGGTCGCGGGTCGGTTGCTCGCCGCGGTAGACCGATACCTGGCCTCCGGACAGCACGCAGGGAGGCAAGAGGTGAAGGAAGCTCATGCTCTCCTGGCAGGGGAGCTCAAGCCTTTGTTCGATGAAGTCAGGCAACGGGCTGCGGAGTGCCAATCTTCTTTGGACGATTGGCAATCGGTAAGGGTGAACTTCTCTACATGTACGGGCTCTGTAGACTGCTGTAGCCGCTCGAGAATATTGCGTGAGTGCTGTGGAACGGTTCTCGGGTTCCTAGGTTCCCAGGCGGGGCCAATAATTTGAAATTTTCAGAACATGTCTGGTGGGAGGGATCAATGGGCCTTCGGCAGCAGCGGTAGGGAGAATGCGAAGAGGTGACTCGTTTTGGGTCTTCGGGACATTTGTTGTAAGGAATGTTTTTGGAGATCTGTTTATCCCCAAAGGGCGACCCAAAAAGGGATCTACAAAAAAGCTGACCCGCTTCTACGGTGCTGGTCGATCCTACAGTCATCGACCAAAAAAAGAGACTCTCTTATAAACGGCTGTTTCTTTACACATACATGTACCTTCCCACCGAAATAGCGTTTCGGTGATATATCCTCAGAGAGTGAAGCAGCAGCAACGGTATAGCTATCCCTCGCGAGCTGTGTGTAGCCCGTCTTGTGTGGCGGCCGATAGAGACCACAGGGCATTACATAGGAGGCACGGAAACTGAGGTGGCGAGAGTCAACAGCACGCTCAAACACAGCCCACCGCGCCAGCAACAAGTTATGTTTTGCTCTTTTGCTTGTGTCGCCACTTGGTTTACTGGTGGTCCGTCGCCACCCACTCAAGCAACAGCGATGATAGAGGTATGCGCCACGAGCTGTGCGTATGGTTCGTCTTGTGTGATGGTTGATACAGACCAGGAGGCTATCGGACGCCCAGAAGTTGGGTTCGCAAACTTGACAATACACGAAAAATTATCCACTGCTGCTGCGTCCAGGCCCTCTCGTCTCATTTGCCGCTTGTTTGCCGCACATATCAGGTTGTCCACCTGGTCCAGCCAAATGACAAAGACAACGGCTACCGCCGATGCTACCGACTCTGTACCAGCCACATGACACAACTCGTGTGACCACTGTTAGAGTTTGCGGGGATGAACCAAAGAAGTTTGTTGGTACGAGTCATGTGGTGTGACCAACAAAAGACAACATGTTTTGGCAGCCCCACCCTGTCCAAAAGTTCCACAAAAATGACAGGATGGCGTGGCTGAAGAGGGTTGTCTTTTTTTGGTAGGAAAAGACACCGTAAGCAGGGGTTCTTTGGCCAGTTGTCTTGTTTTGGGATGAAAACAAGAAAAATACAGCAAAAAAAAAAGAAAGGAAAAAATGGCCTCAATTCCGGAGCAACACCGAACTGACACCCTCTCTTGCTGTTTTTTTTTAATATGGGTTGCGGCGAGCAGAATAAAGTGCTATTTTTATGGCGTCAACAGCAGTTGAGTCAGCCTCTGAAGGGACTCCCTGTGCCCGTCAACCGCCGTTCGATGCCCATCGTTTCCCCGCATCGTCCCGCCCTGCAGCCAGACTGGCTGGTGGCCCAGACGTTTATGGGCATCACAACGTTCTACAAGGTCGACCCGGATGGGTCGCTGTGGATAAAAATGCACGGCACGATGGACGACGTGACGGTCATGGACCAGCTTGCGGTTGTCCGGGAGGTGGACCTGTTCAACAAATGGGTCCCCTTCTGCGACACCTCGAAGCTCCTCAAGCGCCTTGGCATTGTGGAGCTGCTCGTGTACTTCTCTATGTCGATTCCAGGAGTCGGCAGGTGTGTCGCTTGTGGGAACTACCGGTAGCATCTGTGCTGTGCAGCAACAATATCGTCCAAGGTAGTTAGTTAGGATCGGGAATTGCACGAGCGGCTTCTCAATGACCAGCAACCTGTTCTTGCACGTGGCGGCGTTCGCCTGGCGAGCTTGTAGGTGCAAACGCACAAGACGACTTCTGTTGTGCTTGCCACGCCGCTGCGCGATCCAAGGAAAACGCACACCGTGGAGACAACCGCATGCGGGACGCCCGATGTGCCAGCATGAATCAGCCGGGGTTTTTTGCGTCGTGTGTAGTATGGCGGGGCGACGTCGAAGGCGGAGCAAATCGTCATCTTTGATTGTTTCAGCAGAGATGACCCCCGTCGATGTGCACCGTGATGATGGTCATGTGCGTCGTTCCGTTCGGATGCACGTACCAAACAGGGACTGTGTGCTTCACGCCTACGGCTGCGACTCGGTTCTGGAAACCGGCTGCATCCTCATTCAGGGGCGATCTGTCGAGGAGGTGCCGGAGGGGGTGGAAGTCCCACAAGTAAAGGGTTGGAGACACGCTCGTATGGACGTGCGGGCGTTCAGGGCAAAGATTGAAGTGTTGTCGCCAACTTCGGCAAGAACATCAATCGTGGCCAACGTCGACCCCAAAGCGCCTGTCCCGCAGTCTGTGGTGAACTTCGTGGTAAGATCCCCCGTTCATCGCCAATCGCGGGTGCTTCCGGCTTTTCGCCTGCTACTGTATGATGGATGGTGCTCTGCACACAGTCCCTTGCAACCAAAGTATCGTTCGCCGCTGCCCTTGTCAGGTACGCAAGATGGCTGGGATGTTCTTGTACTGCCTGAAGCAAACCGCGAAATGCATTCGCGCGGACGAGGGTAACTGTCACCGACGGAGGATCGTGGAGGACAAGGCATTCTACAAGGGGTGGCTCTTCCCTCGTTTCGAGCGGTTTTACCGCCGACAAGGTTGGACAGTTGACGAGGAGCTTGGAGGCGGGGAGCCCGCCTCCAAACTCAGCGACGAACCCACTGGTGGTAGGGCCTGGTGCCCCAATGGCAAGACCATGTCGTTATCCCATGGAACCTGCACGCCTTTTAGGCGGAAGGCAGGGTCGCAGCTGAAGAACAGTTTCAAGCGCCTCAAGACGACACGGCGACCAAGGCCAACCGTTACCGCCGAATTGCCGCCGCCACAGGTGGGTACAACGTCGAGATCAATCTCCAAGACTTCCGTTACTAGGGGTATCGTTGGTGCCAAATCCAACGATGCACGTTGGTGCTTGACAAAAATCAAACACACGCGTTTTCGATGGTCAGTCGGTTAGCACGGTCGGCCCCGCGTTACGACATACAGGCGACACACACGCAGCAGGAAGGCTACATGCGCTTGTTGACTCTTCTTATCTCGCAGATACGTTTCCTATGCTAATTCAGAAGCTGGGCCCCTCGTTCAACCTTCTCCGGGTGCCTCAATCCGACGACTTTTCTCATCGTTTGCACTGGGCCCGCTTTAGTGCAGGGGTGCGTCCAGAGATTTTACCTGCACTATAGCGGGCACCTGCACTACATATACTCAGAAGAGTGCCTCAATAGTGCAGGTTCGGCACTATTGAGGTTTTGAAATAGTGCAGGACCTGCACTATTGAGGAGATGTTTGATTTCATGGTGTGGCGCTCACGCTTTGCGGGGCCAATAGAGTACCGAAAGGGATCGAGATTAGTGAAGGTCTAGCGTGGGCGTGGACAGACTTTCTCGCGACACGTGTGGTTCCCCTCTGTCACACACAGAGATGTTGTAGAAAAATTACTTGCATGTTTCTCCTTTATTTTCTTCCTGCCTCAGCACTCGTACTGTATTACACATCTTGAACTGTCGCACGAACCAACCCTTCAAGTGCGTAGAGCTCCTCGGGTCTGCAGCAGCACGAGTACCCTCGTTTCTGTTGCGTCTGTCCGTTGCCTCGTGCCTCGTGTGTGTGCATGTGTGTGAGTCTATATTACTAGCATCGACCGCGCTAACCGGCCGACCAATGAAGAGACGTCAGTCTCAGTGCGGTTGAAAACACGAAACACTTCTAAACTGGGACCCCGTGAGCGGGCGGCATGGGGGAGGCTAAGCTATTCTCCGGATGAAAGACAGAAACGGTAGGAACAGAAAAACTGTACGTGTCTACCAAAGCTGCTACCTTGCACTGGAGTTCGTTTTGGAATGCTTTCACCATCATCCTCCTTGTTTTCATCACCATTACTCTCATCGTCCTTTTAAAGCAGTTATTGTTCGGCAGTTCTTCTCTAGCCCTGCGTCGTTGGTTGTTGTGGAGAAAGTCATGTCAGATTTCTCCACACCAACCAACGACGCAGGGCATACGACTTTCTCCGCCACAACCAACGACGCAGGGCTAGAGAACTGCCGAAAAATAGCTGTAAACATGACGATGAAAGTGATGGTGATGAAAACAAGGAGGATGGTGGTGAAAGCATTCCAAAACAAACCCTTTGTGTGTGTGCCCAACCTGCACTATAGCGGGTCCACCCTCAATAGTGCAGGACCTGCACTATTGAGGCCGCTGTCTGTGTCCAGATGTTTTGCCTGCACTATACCGGGAACCTGCACTATTCAACCTGCGCTATGGCGCGCCACCCACCTACTGTACTATTTTTTCAGCCAGAAAAGTGTCGAAACCGAGCCAAGTCGTAGGGAATGCCACTGGCGTCTGTTCACAAACCAATTATTGGCCTCTTTTATTAGCAACTCAGACAGCACATGCGGGCCCAACCAGCACCACATTATTCCCCCCGACTGTGTGCAATGACGTCTCCTTCGACCCTTCTGCCCCACTTTCCACTCACAACTGTTATCTAAACGGGTACGGGGGGTTCGTTCCATGTGTTTCTGCCCAGTTTGTCGCTAGGCTGGTTGTTTGCCGGTAGAACCGTTGTCAGCTCGGTTGGAAGTAGCAAGTTGCCAATTTTCGAGGCTTCCAAGGGTGCTATTGGGGTCCTGGGGGGCCCTCTGCAACGCCCTCTGCAATATCGCAAACGCCGACCCCACGATGAAACACGAACGTTGAACGCTTGTAGAGGGATCTCAAGCATCCCGGAGGCAAGGCGTCGCCACGAGCGCTCTGTCAAGACACTCACCAAGACATGTGTCTGTAAATGGTTTGCCCCCGAACGTGGGTAGGAATCCTTCCAACACACTAAAAAGCAATGAAGAAGTGATATGTTTGGCCCAACCAAATGACGACACGCGTCCCGACCCCACACTTGATAACGAACGTCTGACGGTAAAACTTTCAGGGCTGCCCTCTAACGCCGCTGCTTTCATCGAGTGGCAGGTGATTTGCTTGCGTCTTGATTCCATCAAGAGGTGGAAGTGTCGCTCGCGACGCACAAAACCACACGCAGAAGCAAGCTCTTTCCACGTTAAACTGTGCCGGAAAAATAGCCGCTGCGTGTTGAAGAAGCAACACATCATGTTGCGAGAGACTCAAACCTGTTGAAAGACTGTTTTGAAACAGGTCACAGCCGAAGAGGCTTGCCACCCGACGAAAGCGGTGGCTGTAGAGGGCAGTCCAGCAGCTTTACCTTGTGGCAAGCACTATCGAGTGTGGCATTGGGATGGGTGTTTTCTGCTGTTGGGTCATACGTGTCTTGATTGATTTTTACTGTGTTGGAAGGATTCTTGCGCACGGGGACATATCATGACAGAAACATTCTTGTTCCGTGAACGCCTGACTCATCTTTCGCTATCATGAGCGCCCTTAGTGACACCTTGCCTCTGGGGTGCTTGAGAACCCTGTACAAGTGTGCCACATTCGTTTTTCATGGCGAGTCGGCGATTGTGATGCAGCAGAGAGGGCACCAGGAGGGCTTCGGGGACAATAAAAAGAAGCTAACCCGTTGCTTTCACCCGAGTTGACCACTCTTGTACTGGCAAACACCCAACTTTGCGACCATTGGGCAGGAAATGATAGCATGACCCCCCCTTACCCCTTCTCCTACAACAGTTGCGGGTGAAAAGCGAGGCAGGTGGGGCGTGAGGGCGCCACAGCGCCCGGGTGTGGCTGTGATCCGTCGATCATCTGGCTCGTTTATAAACGAGGCAACAAGGATTGGTTTAGCTGCTGACCACCCCGAAGTTGCACAGGCACGGCCCGCGCCCTTCTCAAAACGTTTCTGGCTGAAGAAATAGGAGTCTGCACCGCATGTCTTACCGTTGGTCGACTGGCTACAGTAGCGCGGTCGATGCCACTTTTAAGAAAGAAACACCCCCTTGCTTACCCTTCGTGTTTTGCAGGTTGAAAATCTGGGCATCGACGAAAGACTGTTGGAAAAGTGGCAAGCAAAGAGAGACAACAGGCGCAACCGAACTGGAGGGGCAAGACTCCTTGGGTCGATCTTGTTTGCCGTGTGTGCGGCATGGGTTCGTTGGGCTTTCACATCAGAAGAGAGAGCGGCTGCACGTGTCAGAGACATCTCTTGGTTCGTTTGTGTCGCTACCGTCCTCCTCGCGACCGGCCTCTGCTTCGTCCTTTGAATTTTGAACAGGATGGTGGATGTTTAGCACGCTATGTGTGCACGGGTACCGTAGAGTGCGCGGCGCGAAGAAAGTGTCCGCCTCGCAATGAGTCAAGGTTGAGGATGTGGTGCATCGTGCGTCTTTGTAAACTTTATCAGCAAAGAGTTGTCTAAAACTTGTATATACAGATGGACCGTTTACTGTTATTAGTGGGAAGTCATAATGAGGTTTGTTTGTTGCGCTACCTAAAAAAGAACGTATTTGTTCCCGATTCTTGCGATGATCACCGGGGGACGTTCGACGTTGTGATACGTTTTTTGTCGATTTTCTCGTGTATTTGCGGGACCCATGCACATACCCGGTACCGTCTGGCCCAACAGTACGCGACATGCGGTTGTCTCCTCGGCCATTGCGGAACATGAGTGTTGAAGTGTCATTGGCAAGAGCAGAGTCTCGGTTTTTGGTGACTCGTTTGCCGGACTTCTGTAGACGCTCGTGTTGTCGATGGCGTAGCTTCCTTTAGGTGGACGAATTTGTACAAAAGGATAGGTGTCAATCCGCAACTGATGAATACGTGGCCTGTCTTGGCGTGCTCTTCGACGGAAAATACTTGTGAGATTTAAGATGTCTTCCAAGAGGAACCCGCATGCTCACCTACGACCTGGAGACAGACGTGGTGCCGGGCTGTGGTTGATTTATCTTGCGTTGCGTGCCTTGCCATTCAATGTCTTCCAGCGATCATAAGTGTGTTCAATCGCGCAATACCTGCGCTAGCCGGTTGGCCACTGAGGGCGTCGTTTGTCTTTGAATGAGAACGCGAACATGCGTTACAGTCATGAGTTTACCGGCAGGCGGAGAAGGCTGAACAACCATTAAACGGACTTGCGAAAACTCGACACCATTCATTCCCGCCTTGCCTCTTGCCGTGCATATTCTCATCAATAATCTACACGGATGCTGTGTGTGTCGCCCCATTCACATGGCACATCTTGTTGTACACATCCGGCATATTTGCGAGAGCACCAGATGGGGTCCCAAGGCCACACACGAGTGCCGTTCCTACATCGCTTGTCTTGATAAAAGGATTCAGACGCTTTGTTCTCCCCTCGAATGTTGCGTACACGAGAACCCCGGCTATGTGCACACACTTAAATACATGACATAGTAACCCTGGCGTGTGATTGCGCCGATAATGGAACCCGCCAAGCACGTCAACCGTCAGAAAACTGCGAGTGGTTGAATTTTCCAACCGCCCAGCCTTTTAGAGCCAACTCGAAGACGGCACTATTCTCCAAAGTATTGTACGTATTTTGTATTTTTTTGCGTTAGACCTTCTTTGGCCAGTCTAGTGGACGCTGTCGAACAAGTGGAAGCCATACTACGGCGAACCACCAGTGCTCTCAGGCATGTTACAAATTCCTGTACAGTAAGCCGCGACCATCACTTTCTTCGTCCTCTTGGTTACTCTTGCATCCTCCTCGTTCAGCTCTTTTGAACAAACCGTCTAAAGTTTCCCGGTGCCTAGAATACACTTCATTTTCGTACCTAAGTGTTTTTGTACTATAACCAATGTGTCGATCGAAGAAGGGAGCAAGCATCCAACACAAGAGCCGGCAGGTCGGCCAGCCTTTATCGCGTGGCAACTAGTCACCAATATATCATAAATAGGCTATCAGTACAACGTGAATAGAGTACCACATTCCGGCCTGTAGAGGTTTCTTGACACCATCGACAAAACACCAAGAGTGGCAACTGACACACAAACACAACGCGCTCAGACTCGAAGAAGAATCAGGTACCAAGTACCCTACACTATTAACCCCACACTTTCTATGAACGGCCTTGGTAGTACGCGTGACACACATATGCATATTGCGCTTGGCCTCTGATGTTGCTCGCCGCCGAAATCCACCAAAGAACGACCCGAACAAGACGATCGCAGGAAATTGAAACGCAGCAAACCGTCCGGTAGTCCACGAACGAACCTATCATACTTGTACACTACAACTTCCTCCGTCCCTCCGACGGCGAGATCGCCAAGTCCAATCTGGAAGCCAAGCGTGGGCCGCTGCACCAAGCCGGTGGTGCATGCGGTCTGGTTGAGTACTTCGTTTAGACAACGCCACATTCGAAGGAGGTGATCATCCCATGGGGGTGCGATGTCATCATCACCGGTACGTGCAATATCACCGATCCCCGCGCGGTGATCCAATTAAAATCAGACCGACCGTTGAACGCACCAGCGAAACTGTTTTGCGCTCAGGAAGCCAGGCGATCGGAAGTCATTCCACCCACCGCTAGTACGCTGAAACGTTGAACGAGGGAATCAGACGTAAGACAGTCTAAGCACGAACAGTCGTGCGTCGCTCAACAACAACAAGAGGAAGGAGACAGCGAAGAACAAAACAAAACAAAAATGTAGATACGTAGACTAATAAAAAAAAAGGCGAAATTATCCAAAATTGTGAAGTTGCGCAACCAAAAAAATGCACAGACTTCCCGATCGGAGTGAATTTTCGTTAATAAAAGTGGTGGAAGTAACAAAACACGCAGCAGCAAACGCATAGGTAGGACAGACGCCGTAGCAACAAAGCAAGCTCTGCGGTCGCGGTTCTGTCGCTGGTTTTTTCGCTCTTGTCTTCAGGACTAGGTCTTCGCGTCCCTAGACCTCTTCTCCACGCGACAAAAAACGAAACCTTGGTCTGCCTATCTCCCTGTTTCTTTTGGCAGAGGCCAGCCGGCTAGCCACAATCATTTGGGATCCCGCAGCGGCCGAGTAGCCGGCGCCACGCATCAATCCCTTGAAAGGTATTAGTCTCGGGGGGTCCTTCAGCAACTGGGGATGGATCCCGAGGCGAAGTCTGTGCTCTCGTCAAGGCAGCCGCCCCCGATATCGTTGTTAGTCCAAACCGTGTCGGTCGAGTCCTCGAACTCGAACGTCTTGACGTTCTCGAAAACATTGTCTGACAAAGCGAAACGGAAACGACGCACAATGTTACTGGATTTGTGAAGGTCATCGCCGTTGTCGAAAAAGCCAAATAGAAAATACAGGTTGATCATCATACAATACCCATGAATTCATTGCTAATCTATCCCGAACTTTGATCAGTTGAAGAATGAAGTTGGTGTGTTTTCGTAAGAACAATAATCAATAGAGGTACGGCCACGCCATTCATGGAGGCGACAGAACGTGGCAAGGGCAAGGACCAACTAACACGCGCCTCCTTACGCGCGAAAAATCCCATCAAGACGCCGCCCCCCATTTGTAGAGTCGGGCGCTAGCTTCAGCACGAGGAAGCCTTCTCCCCCCCCGTCTTTCATGGACGCTTCCACGCGGTCTCACGAGTTTGCAAGCCCTCCCTGACAGACATCAACCCACCTATCTATGTAGGGTATCGCCGAAAACCGATGAGCGGGGCATATACAGCTACATATTTATAAAATAGCGCCTACAACTCAACAACCTTCAAAGTCCTTTATAAAATAGCGCCTACAACTCAACAACCTTTAATGTCCTTAGTACGTGCGGTTAGGCTACACGTGACCGCTATATAGGTTTTAGTGTAGGGGTTTCTTAACCGGTCTCACGAATTTAAAAGGTGCTCAAATTCTTAGATTCTGAGTTTTTTGAGGAATTTCTGAACTCCCCAAGGTTATTGAGTGCTGTACAATAAAATAGCGCTCATTAACTGTATACCAGTACACGGAAATCACCTAGGTTCTGCTTGGGGTCTGCAATCCACGGACAGCTCTCGCTCACTCCTCTACAGCAAGTGAGTACATAGGTAGGGCACTCCAACCGGGTTTCTCTACTCACTGGTGAAGCTGTTGTCATCTCCTTCCTTGATCTTCATAGCCACATCGGTGTTGGAGATGGTGTTGGCGTCGAACGAGTTGTCCTTGACGCGACCGTCGTTGCCGGACACGTCCGGGTCGTCGCTCCCCTTGTACGTGTAGAGGCCGTCTTGAACCCCAAGAAAAACAACACGACAAGAAGCGGTAGGAACGCAATCCAGCTCGTGAGTGTCGAGAGTCCAGCTCATCGGCAATAACGGCTCGTAGTGTAGGAAAACCGTATACCCCAAATAGACGAGCAACAAGATAATTTTTGGGAAGGAATTAATCCGTCCGGAATCCGGTCAATCTGCAACAACGCAGGAAGACGTGAGCCCCCCGCAGGAGCATGGGGGGCTTGGATGGATACGTTGAATGAAACCCTCCTCTTGTGAATAGCGAGAGGTGAAGCGTGCGGCAGCGTCTAAATGTTGGTTGCAATAGTGCCAACGCTGGCAATAACGAAAGGCCGTCCAACGCCGCCTCACGATTGCATCGGCAAGCGGCAGCTGAAGGAAGCGAGCGACCTTGATGCATTCAATAAGAACAAGCAACCTACACATCGCAGACAGAGGAAACAAGCAAACAAACCAGCGGCAACGCAAACAGAGATCCCGTTTTTCCTTCACGCACAACGAGCAAAAAAACAGGCGCGCGACACAAACGGCAGGCATCATCGTGCGTGCCGCCGCTTCCCCGTTTTTGCTGGAGAGACGCCCCGACAAGCCGGGCGAGATACACCGCAACACCCGTATCTCATGGGTTCAGGTTCAGTGCCCCTTCCCACAAGACGTGTTGGAGACGGCAAGAGGGCAGTTGTACATGCAACCTCGTCTCACATGTCGAGGAGGAGTCGAAGGTGTTGTCGTGGATGTCGTTGTCGGCGCTGCCCAGGCTGAGGCGGATGCCGTACTTGCAGTTCTCGATGGTGTTGTCGTAAATTTCGGCGCGGAACGACTCCATCAATGCTATTCCGGCGTCTAAGTTGTCGTGGACATTGTTGTCTGCGAACGAGAATCGGGAGGAAACGCCGCAATTTTCAAAAGCCTGGAACGTACAAACAGTCGAGTGCTTGTGTGTGTGTGTGTCATGTGTGGATGCCCCCCGTCTAACGACACAACGACGCCACCACCGTATGCCAGGGGTCTGGGCGGTGCCCCAAATCGAGGTGATGCCTCAATCGTGCCCTTTTGGTTCTGGCTCAAGTGGAGACACGTGTATGTTCGAACAGGCCTGCAACGCACTTCTACGCCGGGAGGGTGCGCATAATGTTCCTCCAGCTCCAGGCATGGTTTGTGTCTAATCACAGCCGTGGAGGGTGGTTTCGTCCGCCAAAAAGTGCAAGAAGTTAATCCCGAGCACACGGCACGTGTGACCAGACTTTCGGCGCTGACAAGCCGAAAAGCGACTGACTGCAACATGTGAATCCACTACTCGCTCGAAGCTAACGTTATAGTGCTTGCCGTCATGGAACACTGCTTGTTCAACAAGTGACCATATAACTTTCGACGAACAACAACAAAACGTTGATTTTTGGCAGTGTCGGGGGTGCCGTGCGTGGCAGGCTTTCGCTTCGCGGCGGGAAGCTCCTGCAGCGAAGAAGGCCTCTCGGTGAGCAACGGCAGGTAAATTCGGACCGCCTTTGCGATAAATCAAGCTTAGGAGGGAATATTGAACAGGGAGGAGGTGCGCAGACCTTTTACCTATCCCTGACCCAACTCCCGCGATTGCATGCTGTATATCCAACGTGTTTACTTTCCTTGGTAGTTCCTGTTCCAAACGAGAACTCACTGTAAACCTTCGCGTCGTCGGAGCTACGGTGGAGGAAGATTCCAGCCTGCTCTCCGTTGTACACATGGTTGTTGTAGATCTCCACGTTGTTGCAGCGCTTAGACGCGATGATGCCTGCCCGACACAAGAAAAGCCAACCGGGATAATCGCTCAATAGTTGTTGCAGTGTCCCACCCTCCAGGTGTAGTAGTTCATCCACACAGTAGCACCATGTTGCCCGTCTGCCACTACTCAGTACACCGGGGCATCGCATTATCAAGTTTGCCAAGAACCCCAAACTATGGATGCAGTTATCGAGAGGCTGTCCGGTGTCAATCTTTACCACATCCGAACCGCAGCATGTCAGCTCTCGTCAAAATAGGCATACACTACAAGGAACAATCTGTCTTGATTGTTTTTTTAAAGGGGGCTTACCGTGGTTTCCGTTGCCGTAGACGGTGTTTCCAGCGACTGCAACGGTAGGCACCATGGAATTTCATAGCCCGTGGCGTGTGCAGGGAGGAACGGGCGGCAAGAAAGAAAGGCAGTGACGGAGAGAGAGAGCGACAGGCAGGAAGAAAGAAGAACATAATACGGACACGTGGGGTAGGTTGGTATGCTGGACGGTACACACTCGAGAGGGGAACTGCGAAACGACCACGTGGTAAACACCACGAATTGGTAGGTGTAAGAGAGAGAGAGAGAGAGACAGACAGGCAGGCAGAAAGAAGAACGTAATACGGACACGTGGGGTAGGTTGGTATGCTGGACGGTACACACTCGAGAGGGGAACTGCGAAACGACCACGTGGTAAACACCAAGAATTGGTAGGTGTGTAAGGTGCAGGGCTCACCCTGCGACGCTTAAAGGCGGTATTGACTAGCGGCGCAAGCGGGCACATGCGGAGATAATGCGACCGCGGCATGTCGTACTCTTGCGTAAATGTTGCAACGCACGCTTTTCGTGTGATGAGGAGAGAATTGTCGGCCTTTGTCCGCAGAAACAGTCACACAACCAACCGTGAATGCAGCGGGTGATTTAATCGATTTCAGTCTGGCACCAAGCGCAAACCTGGGGACATCACGCCAAGAGCCAAGCCGTGAACGCAAACACTCGCGACGACGGCGACCGTAACTTACTGGTCAGGTCATCCGAGTCATCGTGAGGGTCGAAGCCGTAGAGGATGTTGTCGCGCATCACGTTGTCGGTCCATACTCCTCCCTGGTGTCCGTAGGAGTACATGCCGTAGTACATGCCTGATCACAACCAAAGAGATGGGGAGAAAAGGATGCAACACCGACGACGACGACGGCGGCGGCGGCGACAAGGGGGCATGAGCAAGGCGTACACAACCGTCCCCCTCCAAACGCCAACCGTGTTGGGGCGTTTGGGTGGCCCAGGCGTTCGGTTGGCGAGTGTAGACGCAGCGGCGTAGAGGGAGCGCGGGCAGGGAGACGAAAAAAGAAAAAAACGACGCGAAAACCAGAGTGGTACAATAGTTTCTCAGACCAACGATGGCGAGTACGCGCCCCGCGCAAAGGAAACGGCTTCCACGAACGCGTGGAGAAAGCACTGCATGCGCATCTAGACAAACCGAGGTGCATGTACGGTGAGTTAGCCACGGGCTTCCTCGATGGAAAGAAGGGGGCACGACGACCACGGGGACGCGGCGGAAAAAGACAAAGGCGGTCGACATTGTGGCCAACTCAACTACTCTGTGCGGCCTGGTTTGGGAACGCGGGTGGAGGAGGAAGGAAGGAGGGAGGGAGTCGGCGAGATTCGACAGGTAACAGTCGCAAAGGAAGATAAGTCGCATCGTGTGCGCGCCCACTGCCCCCAACAGCTGATCCCGGTGCCTGCTCTTGGGCCATCTACCTTAACCAACCGTTCAACGTACAGTTATGTACTTGTTTCTCTTTTTTTTTGTCGTACATTGTTGCTAGCGCGAAGGCCACAACGACCAAAAACAATTCGGAGGCGCCACGGGAACAACGAAAAGTACCAAGCATCAAACGCTCAGCTGCTGCGTGTAGACATGTCGCAATCAAAACGAGACGAGAAGCGAGAAACGCGAACAAGAAGAAAAGAATACTCGTTACAAGGGACGATATCGCCCCAGGCCGCACCGTAGATCTCAGAACCCTTGATGTCGCCGTAGACGTTGTGGTCGTCCATGATCTCCACGTTGGAGAGGTCGGAGCACAGACCGCGGACCTTCCACGTGAGGCCGTATGACTCTGCGTCAAACCAGCCCATGTTGCCCATGGTGGAGTCGATGATGTCCTGCACGGTGGCATAATTTGTTGGTTGAATGTTTCAGTTGATCGACGCGTCGCCTTGTGCACGAGGAAGATGCTTGGTCCGACACCAAAGGGCAAGGGTACAGTATTGTTGCAATGGAAAGGGTTAGGCTGCTGTCCCAATGGAATTGGTTCGGCAGTTGTTGCAATGGAAGGGGTTAGGCTGCTGTTGCGCTTGGATGGGTTGGGGCTCTTTTGTCCCTCTCGTGGTGGAGTCGATCGACGTTTCGTCCTGCACGTCCAAAGGAAGTTCTCGTGCTGTGTTTCGTTTGTTCCCAACAAGGAAACGGTCGTCCTTTCCACTCGAACGCCTTTCCGACAAGTATCAACCGAACACGGAAGCATGTGTGGTTTCTTCTCTGCTTCCGACGGCGGCGTGCGCGCTCACCATCCTGCACTCTCCCCGCTCTTTGTTGGAGCGGCCACTGCACGACCATATGTCGCTGTCATCGAACTGAGTGACGCAGTTGATGAAAGAACGCCCGCCCTCGTACTCGGTCCTCTCCTCGCCCTTGTCCGTGTCCCAAGAGGTGACCTACGCGTGTTGACGCCATCGCAAGCGAATAGAGATGGAGCGAGAAAACAAGAAGCGTGTTTGGGTTGACGTTGTTGTTATAGATGGCAGTTGGCAGAAAACGCCTCCTCCACAATGTACACACAAGTGGCCGATTTTGGTTTCCCTTTTTTCTTCCCCTTCCAGTTGTTTTCTGTTCCCCATTGGTCGGTGTCCCACGATGCACCCTTCGATCCGCAACCCTTCGATCCTGTAGTTGCCATGTAGCTCCGCCATCCCTCCCCCCCCCCCAATACCCAGTGCTCGCCGGTATCGCACCCAACTCCACCTTCACACCATGTTTGTGTGTGTGCGTGAACACGTTTGTGTCGCGCCATTTGTTACGCGAATCAGGCCTGTTACACCTTCGGAACTCCTCTCTTTGATCGTGTGAAAAAGAAAGAAAACGCTCTGGGGAGTCTGTCCACTGCTTCCTCACCGTAGTCTCCAGGAAGGACAGGCTGCCGCCCCAGCCGCGGATCTCCCAGAAATCATCGTCGGTAGACTGCAACAAAAGACACAGGCATGGTCAAGCAAGAGGGCAGTGCAATGGCCAGTTTGCTACGGATTTCGGCAGCTTGATTGGCAGATTGGGAGCAAATCCGAAAATACACAAGTTGGCCGTGGGCGAGAACTACTCATGGCAACGGAGTTCCTAAAGTCTCGGCTGGCTTGTACGAAATAGGATACCCGACGAGGCAGCAATGTCGTTACTGTTCTTTTCGGTAGAACCCCGTTGACGCCGCACGCGCTGCTATTCATCCAGATCTGAGAGTGACATTCGTCGGTGTTGCCCTTGGCATGCCCACCGGCAACAAGGTCTACCATGTCGTCGTCGTTGTTTTCGTGTAGGTTCGATGCTACTCTGCTGTCGCCGTTTGGAGTCTTTTACGCAGGAAAACGCCATCCCGGCAACGCGTTCGTGGAGAACGGTGATAAAAACACAACGCCAGGCGAGATGGCAGACGAAGCACAAACATCGTGCGAAAAACAACGCCGCCTCCTACAGCTCGGACCCCTCTTTTTCTCTCTCTATCTCTCTCTCTCTCTCTCTCTCCTACGATGCAGATACCCACCTGGATGCGAAGCACATCTGCGTCGCCCCCGGCCGACGTCCCGTGCACGTACAGCGTCACTCCGTCGAGGATCTCCAGGGAAGAGGTGAGGAGCCAGTAACCGGTGGGGCTCGCGCTGCCTCCCCCTCCGCTGACGATGTTGTTGCTGGAGTCCAGCACGTAGAGAGGGCCGCTTCCCGACTGGGTGTTGTACATGTCGGTCAGGGTAGCGCACCCTCCCCCCGAGAAAGCTGGCGTGGAGTTTTGAGGGGGGCGGGGAGGGGGGGGGTTCTCGTTTTCGCTTGCCATGTGTCCGGACATGAAAGGCACAGCCGCGGCGAGACATGTCACCAATAGGTGGTATGGCAGGACAGAGTTGTTGGCTTCTCGGACTGGCCGTGTGGGTGACAAAGCGCAGGGTGATGAGGAGGACGGATGGGGGTGGTGCGTGCACCAATCGTTCTGTTTTCTCTCATAATTCCGTCGTCTTTGGATGTCGACGCAGACCTGTACACAAGCACTCACACGATGAGTCGGAGGAAGTAGAGATGGAGGCGATGGTGCCAGAGCAAGTGGACGGCGAAGGCGGCGACGGTGTCGGTGGCGAGGGGCTCGGAGGGGTCGGCGTGGGTCCCGTCGAGTCGCCTGCAATCGTCGCGCACAGAGACAGTACGAGCGAATCAGGATTGTCAACGAAGACAGCGTCAAGAACACGTCATTTTGCACGGGCTCGTAGCCTACTTTCCCCCGCAGGAAAACCCGACATGGACCATGTAGAGGTTTGGTGCACGATCCTTAACTGTTCTTATGGCCAACTCCTAAAACATTTCATCATGTTGTGGAGCTTGAAATCTTAACTCCCGGGTTCTTAAGTGGGAGAGCGTACTGTACAACCCCCTTCGAACGACCCCTGAGCGGTTGCCACCAACCCTCTTCATCTCGCGAGCATCTAGCTCATCCTAACCCTCTCGCGCTAGTCCCGAAGCAATATCCACCCTTTGGAGGTTTCAGCTTCTACCGGCGTGGGATACACACCCTGGTTCGGAACTCTCAATCATGTTGAGTGCAAAACGATCAACTGCTAGGGAACACGAGAGAAAGAAAACCACGGCCTTGACACCCAAGTAAATTGTAGCGATCTACGTGGACATGGACGGCAACAACCACCCCCTTTTGGTGCGAGCGAGCGATCAACCTACCGTCCACGATGCACGGGGCGGCGCCGGTGACCGAGCAAAGGTTGGAGATATCGGACGTACAGCAGTCGGCGCCCGTCAGGCCTCCGCCACGGTCGCCACACCTGAATGCGGGAGTGGGAGTTGGGCCGTGGTTGGTCGTTATTGGTGAACTGCCTGCTTGTCTTTCCTCCAAAACGGACCTTCTCTACCACGAAGAACACCATCTCATCAGGTGCTATACTACCGCTGCCAGAACTCACCCGGAACCACCGCACTCCCCGCATCCGGCGGAGCAGCAGTAGTCGCCCTTGAGCACGCCGTCGCACGTGAACGATCCGGAGGTGGTCGTCGTAGTCGTGGTGGGTGTCGGTGATGTGTCTCCTGCGACAAGAGGAGAGGTGTGCGGGGGAAGGGCATTACGTGACCTCAAAGGTGTATGGACGCAAGCTTTTCAGGGCAAGAGAAATAGGCGAGGGAGGCCCCTGATGTACGGCCTGTGCGCGGAGAAACTGTCGGAAAAGTAGTATGAATTCTCGGAGTGAGAATAGACGCACACCCATTCGAGTACCCAACAAGACGACCGACTGCTGGAACAAGAGCAATCCAAGCCGTAACCCGAACAATATAAAACAACGACGTGGACACAGACAGCATGAGCCACCCCCGAGGGCGAGCAAGCGATCAACCTACCGTCCACGATGCACGGGGCGGCGCCGGTGACCGAGCAAAGGTTAGAGATATCGGACGTACAGCAGTCGGCGCCCGTCAGGCCTCCGCCACGGTCGCTACACCTGAATGCGGGAGTGGGGGTTGGGCCGTGGTTGGTCGTTATTGGTAAACTGCCTGCTTGTCTTTCCTCCAAAACGGACCCACTCTACCACGAAGAACACCATCACCATCTCATCAGGTGCTATACTACCGCTGCCAGAACTCACCCGGAACCACCGCACTCCACGCATCCGGCGGAGCAGCAGTAGTCGCCCTTGAGCACGCCGTCGCACGTGAACGATCCCGAGGTGGTCGTCGTAGTCGTGGTGGGTGTCGGTGGGGTAGGCGTGGGTGACGTGTCCCCTGCAACGAGAGGCGAGGTGCACACGAGGGCAGGGCGATACCCGACCAAAAAGGTGCATGAAGACAATGGCAGGTGATGGGTGCCGACCCATGTGCCACGCACCAAGACACTACCGCAAACTAAACATGCTCCTCACCGGAGTGACAATCGACGCTACTTTTTGCACCCACTCGCATCAGCTGCTGGGGAGCAAGAGCGAAACAAACCTTCGCTTCCACACCTGAGAAAGAAAGACAATTATCTATGCGGGCAGCAAGAGCCACCCCCTTTTGGTGCGAGCGAGCGATCAACCTACCATCCACGATGCACGGGGCGGCGCCGGTGACCGAGCAAAGGTTGGAGATATCGGACGTACAGCAGTCGGCGCCCGTCAGGCCTCCGCCACGGTCGCTACACCTGAATGCGGGAGTGGGGGTTGGGCCGTGGTTGGTCGTTATTGGTAAACTGCCTGCTTGTCTTTCCTCCAAAACGGACCTTCTCTACCACGAAGAACACCATCACCATCTCATCAGGTGCTATACTACCGCTGCCAGAACTCACCCGGAACCACCGCACTCCACGCATCCGGCGGAGCAGCAGTAGTCGCCCTTGAGCACGCCGTCGCACGTGAACGATCCCGAGGTGGTCGTCGTAGTCGTCGTGGGTGTCGGTGATGTGTCTCCTGCGACAAGAGGCGAGGTGTACGAGAGCAGGGCGTTGCAAGAGAAAGGGCACATGGCCCAAGCAGGAGTAGGCGAGGGATTCGGACCCATGTGCTACGCACCAAGAAACTACCGAAAGAGAAACAAGCATTGTCGGAGGTACAATCGACGTAAAGCCACACGAAAACCTCGTGAACAAAACGTTTGCCTCCTGTATAGATATAGCAAGGACAAAAACAAAAAAAAAGACGACTGCAAAGATGTGTCGCCAGCTTCGTGTGCTTGTCCAACGAAGACAAATCAAATAGCTATTCCCACGTGTGTGGATGGTCCGGTCAACCTTCTCCACCATTTGAATACACAACCCCTTCTAAAAAAACGTGCACATCATCATCGTCTAAACCGGCCCCCGCTCACCGTCCACGACGCACGGAGCCGAACCGCACGGCACGTTGGCGGCGGCGATGGTTGAGGTGCAGCACTCGTTCGCGGTGAGGCCGGCCCTCGAGCCGCATCCGGAGCCGCCGCACGTACCGCACTCAGCCTGCGAGGACGAACGTGGACGACCATGGCAGCATGGGCCACGGTCAAACGTGCCAGCGGCGAGGATAACAACAAGAGCACGGCGCAAGCTCGGTGGTTGGAAAAAGCGGAGCATTTGGCGGCCAAAGGGGAAGAAGACAGGGGAGGGAGAGGGGTACCTCTCCTCAAGTCGTTTGAAAATGCAGCACTTGTCACCAGGTCCGGTTCAACTTGGAGCATGCATCTCTTCTCGAGGTTTCTATTTCGCTCCATTGAAGCGAACTGCTATCCTTGGAGCGAAGGTGCGAGAAAAAAACAGCACCTGCGGGAGGTCCTGTCGCCCCCCAAAAGCTAACTCTAGAGCAAGGCCCTGGACTGACGCGAACGGAGGAGGACGATATGTACACGAACCCACTTCGAGCAAGCATCTCTTACCTTGGGTTCTGATACCTACTATTCCGCTCCTATGAAGCGCCCTGCTACCCTTGTGGGTAACTTCAGCCTAAGCTCCCAACACAAAAGGAAGGCCCTGGGCTGATGCAAAAAGGAGGAGACCAATACACAAACAATCTCCCAATCGATCACAACCCCCGGCCCAAGAGAACGCGCACCGAGCAGCACACGTCGCCCTGCAGGATGCCGTCGCAACCCCCGCTGCTCGCCGGCGTGGGGGAGGAGCCCTCCTCGAGGAGGCACGGAGCGGAGCCGCAGGCCTTGCCGGCGGCCAGGATGTCGGACGTGCAGCAGTCAGCGCCGGTTAGGCCGTCGCCCCGATCGCTGCACCTGTAGTGGCAGTAGAGGGTTCGGTTGGAAACAAAGAGCTTGCCAGGTTTTTCTCTCTGGGAAGTGACTTTCGTGGACCTGTCTTTATTTAACCCAGGGGTCGAAACGTGATTCTCGCGTTGTGATCTACCTGGTACCGGCTCCCGCGAGGCTTGGGCTAAAGGGTTGCTGGGGGGCACTTGAGTTCTTTCCTATTTACGAATCTGCGGGGGAGGGTTGGGCTGGAGCTCGGGCGTGTTCGGCTTACCCTGACCCCCCGCATTCTTCGCAGCCGGCGGAGCAGCAATAAATGCCCTTGAGGATGCCGTCGCAAGTCTGGCCTGTAGTCGTGTGGAGAGAGGCACGTGAGTTCCGCGGGAGTGTGGAGAAAAAATGTGTCAAGAAAAAACAATCCGTCAGTTGCGCTCCGCGTTCGACGTGATGACTACAGTGTATTTACAAACTCTGTCCTCTCCTACTCATGGACTCTTCTTTTCTGGTCCCACTGGCCCGAATCTGTGCAAGCCTTCTATCCCGTGGCTACGCAACTGAGAACTCAGGATGGGGGGCTTCCCTTGACGCGTTCTAGCAAGCAACCATCCAAAAACAACCGTCTTTAGTCTTCCACCGCGTAGCATGTCCTTCCTGGAAACGGTCTGGGTAGGACTTAAGTGGGGCACGACTGACTTCTAGTCTATGTGACAACCAACCAACCAACCACCATCAGGATTTTCACGATTTTTTAGGGTTCCGTCGCGGCTCGCACACGGGTGATACGAGGGATGGATGAGAACAGAGAGCACGCCGTGAATAGCACAACCCTTGCAACAGTGCCATTTTCCTTTCACTTTGTGTACCTTTGGCCACGCCGACCACAAGGAGAGCCAGAAGCACCCCAAAGCCGCGCATTGTCGTTGAATTTCGCGCCAAAAACAAGGCCTGCAACGACGAAAAATGGCAGGCACTGAGAAGATAAGGACGGAGAACGAGCACCACACCCGGTCACCATTTGAGGGGGTTTGTGTCCTTGTTGCGTCGTATGCGTCTCCTCCTGTACAACGCCGGCCGATGATGCGTCCTACGATGACTACTGACGGCAGGTGTAAATGCCAACGTCGAGAACAATGACAACTAAATGATTGTTTCAAAGTCGAATGTATTTTCGACGCGGAGGCATCAAGCACCAGGCGATTCTGGTCTTAGTTCTGAAAAGCCCGCCGTAACATAACCGCTTTTGCATAACCGCTTTTGACACGACACCATGCAGAGGATTCACCGGAAAAGCGCGTGCGTGTGTGTTGGGTACTTCGCTAATTGTTACATATCCAAACAAAGCAGGCAGGACGGGACGACAAAATAAATCACCCGGCCGACTGGCGGGAAAGCCGCAATAAAAAATCCGAAGCACACACCACCTACAGTATCACCTGACTCTTGTGAGGGGAAACAAGGAAGGGTGGATATAGTCCTTGAGAGATGGATGCATGCACGGCTTGACGGGTTGTGTGCCCTTGATCCACAATGATTAATCGTGTCGGAATGGGACGTTCATGCTGGAGAGAGAGGTCGTAGGCAGAGCGCCTCAGCCAAGAGGGCACGCGGATTGAAAAGCAAGACGAAATACACCAACGGAAGCACAGCCAGGCACAACCCACAAACTGCCGTCAAGGACCAACGAGAGGAGGCGGGGGTCTACTCTAGTTGGATTTAGTACTAGTGTAGTAAAAATGAAAAAATACAGGAAATGAAATAATACAGGATATAACAAATAGCCATGTATATGCAGAGGAGAGGGGGTCCCTGTTTAGTGCCAGTTGAATCGCGTCCATGCCCGTTATAGTGCCGGTGTTTTCGGCGGGCACATACTGAATTCCAAGTCATTGTCGTCAGTACTTTGAATTGAATAGTGCCGGTCCGGTATAGTGCTGCCGGTGGATTTTCTAGGCACGCACCGGCACTAAACAGGAACCCCCTCTGTACAGCAATAACAAGGACGGTCGGCCATGACTGAACCTACATGCACACCGCCGTTGTTGTATGGGTTTCGGACTGCGATCAGCAAACGAAAAAACAAACTGGTATTATTTTTATGGTCGAGGGGTGGGGGCGTGGTAGTGTATCTCCAACATTATGCGTACTTCGAAGTATAATATTTCAACTGGTTGGGTTGGCACATACAACTGCTCACCACAGCGGGGTATTTGTCATGTTCTAACTTGTTCGGTGTATTTGGCTAGCCAAAAACAACTGATTAGTTGGGTCTTGCATTGCATCCACAGCATGCAGTCTAGTATCTCTCGGGGTAATCTCTGACTTGCGACAAGAAGACAGGAGTGAGTGGTTACAAGACGCGATCGTCCCTTTTTGACGCACAGCTCACGGACGATGATGTGTGGGTCTCCCCCCGATGTAGATTGGCTCATCATCAATAGATGACAAGTGTGTAATCACCACTGGTGTGGCACGTTCTGTCTTTGCATAGAACACGGTTGTTCCGTCTCAAACATCGTCCCTCTCTCTGGCGAATTTGTCGTGACTGGCGTCATAAATGACCCTTCACAACGACGACCAGTATGTACTTCAACATAGCCCTCTCTCGGAACCTCACAAACGCATGTATGTACGCTACACTGCCGTGTACCTGCCGCCTCTGTGTACTTTCGAGGCCCGCCGCGTCCGTCCGTGATTTGGGAATCTAACTTTTGGACACGGCAAGATTTATTTGTCTTCAAATAATCCGGGCACAACTTGGCACAACAACAGGTTTTTTTGTTTTACCGGCCGCTCATTCATGCATTTCATCTGTAGACTTCGTGGACAAATTAGCCTATAAGTCTTGCACCTCGGCCCTCTCTACTGGTTGGATACTCTGGTCATCATGCAGGATTGAGATAGAACCCTTCCTTGCGGTCGTGACAACAACTGCTGTCAAAGATACACTACAGTTTTTTTTGCTGACACAGCAGACGCCCCGCCAGCGCGGGTTTTTGCCCGCAACAGTAGTAACAACAGGAGAAGAAGTGACAGATGCAACATTTTCGTTTGCACTTTTTAGTCTCTCTCCTCTCTCTCCCTCAACTCCTTCGCACGATTGGCATGGGGGGTGTTCATGTGGTGGTGCGGGTTCTGGGCGAGGCGACATTAACACCTGGGTTGCAAGGACTTGCGGCGCGCGTATGCATCACGCGCCGGACCATCACACAAGAAAAAGACTAACGACACCCACCAGGCACAGGACCTGCTTCCGTGCACAGAACAGAGCAAGAGTCAGTTCTTTTTCAAATAAATGCACACCATCTGCAAATCTGATGGTGCATCAATCTTCGGCTATCATCGCCGGTCGGTGGTAGCGTTTGTGCATATCTGCGGAGCTGCTGTGGGCAACAACACCCGTTGCACCTGCGAGCACCAAGCCCGGCCGCCGTATCCTGCGAGCGCACGCTAGTACTACCTACCGATGCAGACGACGCAAACGGCCTATGTCCATAATAGCATAATAACCGCCCTGCCTGGCGTTCCTCACCGCGGTGATGATGGGTACACTTGTTGTAGGATGCGATCACGGGTGTGGATGTGGTGTGCTCGTAGAGCAGCAGCAGTAGTAGCTGTTCCTCCGCACGGATCCGGCGGGGGAGAGTTGACCGATGAGCAGGCAGGGTGCTGTTGCAGCTAGCTGCCTGGGGGAAATGTGATGTGATGATGATGATGTGAAATGTTTCTTGGTGGCTGGTAGGGGAACAAGGATATATGTCTCTCTCTATTTCGCCCACAGGTCACGGAAAGAATAATGAAATCAGTCCTCCTGGAATCTAAATCTTTACAATTGATGATGATACAGTTTGTTTTTTCGCATTCGAAAATGTCCCGAAAAAAAATCATATCGTCAGTGGGTGGGCCTCGGCCAGTTGTTTGTTTGTTAGTATTTGATACCCCGCGGTCTGCTTCACTCACTGGCCTCTCACAGAGTTTTTTTTTCTTTTTTGTAGAATCCCTTGCGAAAGCTTCAACCTTGAACAAAAAACTTTGTATGTTGTTGTCGTTTGTTTGTTTCTGCTTGCTTTGTTCGATAATAATGACGAAGACGATGACGATGATGCAACCAGCTGCCCTGCTGTTGTTGTTGTTGTCTCTTCGCATTAATTATTATTTGCCACCATCATCATCATCGCGGACGGTGTGTGATGTTGATTGATTAATTGTGATTAATTAAATTACGCGTGCGTGTTCCCCGCGCCGTCTGCATAGTAATATACACTTCTTCTACTATGTAATGGAGCAACTAGTGTATTTGCATTGTACGGGCGTTTCATGAACGTTGTATGAGCGCTTATTAGATATTTTGAATTTTCTTTGGATATGGATATTTGGCGACGTTGAGGGGTATTGAAGTAGCTTGAAGGAAGATCAAAATCCCAGCCCCGCTCTCTCACTCTCCGAGTGGGCGCTGAGCGGACCTGGTCTAAGAAGGCTAAACAAGAGATCAAACAACAACTGTGAGTACCCGAAGCCAGGAGCAACGAGCTTGCTCCCTTCCCTCTTTTATTTCTCTGTTCCCCCATAACATCTACATACTACATACATGCATACACACATACGCTACAGATTGATCTACCAAACAAAGTAGTACCAAGTGTCAATCAATTTCCATCTATCTACAGCTAGCTACATTTTTTTTTTTTGTCTTCACTTCAAATCACCAGCAGCCCGTGGTCACAGAGAAGAGCCCCTCTCTCCCTTCCTGCGGTACCTTGCCTTCGATTTTTAATGCGAGAATAATAGTTCAGCACTCTCTTCCCTCTTCCCTCTGTGTACACACGAACTACTAGCTAGCGCTATCCACTAACTAGGTAGGCCAGGAGCGGCGAGAGAAAAACCCACGTTGCAAGAAAAGCTCGCTTACGCCGGGATTCGAACCCCTGACCTGACCTCTCTCTACTAAAAGGTTTCGAGGTTACCAACTGGTGGATCCACTGGGTGGGGCGACTGCGCGGCTACATACATACAATAAATAGCTATACTATATATTATATAGATAGATGATACGTCGACATGCATGCATGCACAGATAGATGCACAGCAAGCAGCAACAACAAGAATGAATGTTAGTACGGTGTCACATGACACACTGTGTCACGCCGCTACCTTCTTCATGGCATTTTCGCCCGATGATGTTCTTACAATTATTGTATTATTATGTCGTTGTCGGTCATCCATGTGTGTGTGTGTGCCGTTGGACTAAAAAAAAAAACACATGCATGCTCCGTATTCTTAGGGTACAACAAGTAGTAGGTCTTAACGAAGTAATCAGATCTCGAAATCACATTTATTTATTTCGATGTAATAAGAATACAACAAGAAAGAGTCGGATCTACCCAAATCCGGACGGAAATGAATGGTGGTGTGTCTTTTTTTCTGTTTTTTTAGCGGCAGATGATCTGTCAAGTGGAACGAGTCTCTGCAGTCCACCGCGAACAACCCGAGAGGTCCGCCGTTTGCCAACTACCAGATTGCTGTTGTGACGTACGTGCTGTTGTGACGTGGCCGCACCACATGGGGAGCTATCGCTCCCGAGAAGAACGCACCAACGCGTACTACGTACTACATGGCCTCTGTGCGGTACTGACACGACGTCTATGCATGTGAGACTTTGAATCGAGCCGCGTCCGACGGAAAGCCACCAATTCGTCTTTGCAATTAATTGAGGTTCGACAACCCACGGGAGATTGCCCCACAGACCAACACACCCCACACACGTTTGTTTTTCTTCGGCGCCAGTCACGTGGAACAACGATGCGCAGTCACCCTCCCTTTAGGTTGGCTTTGTTATGCTCTCTCTCTCCTTTGTGCTCGGCGGTGGATGGAGTTCGTGTGGATGGGGCTAGGTGTGGGCACGCGCCGTGCATGCATAG